TTGGAAGACAAAGAATAAAGTTCTATCATAGACTTCTCCCTCTCTTCCTGGAAGAAATATAATAGAAGGTGCTATGTCACCATTAGGAGTACATGTATTTAAGTCCCCTGAATATCAAGATAACATTGAAACATTAACCATGAGGCTTCGTTTAACCCTAACTTATGTAAGCAAAAGGTAAAACTGATGACTAGAAGAATTAGTTATGATTATTTCTTTTATTCTCTTGATTTTCATTTACACAAGTACAGTGATAACTCTTGTATTGACTTCACCAGTTTTTATAAGGCATGAGTTGAAGAGTCAGTTTCCTTAATCCACTTACAGGGAACTTTTAATGCCAGCGACTGTTATTTGTGGACCAGCAGGTGGCATCAAAGACCAGTTCGCTCTGCTGAAAGAGAACAGAGAGAACTGTTAAGTTTCCCAGCTATTACACCATCTCCCTTTTTTGACTGATGTGTTGAAGAAGAATATAATCACCCCATCCCTCAGTCCTTGTGCTCTCTTAGCACCTGATTCTGCTCTATTAGCACCTGATTCTTGCATCCACTCTTCTCAGTGCTACACTTCTAATATTTTTGAAACTGTATGTTTGTCTTGACAGTAAGCACAGATTTTTCAGATATCAAGATTGTTAAACTGTGTTATGCTGCTTAAATACATTTATACTTTACCTTGGTTCTCTTGTTAAAGCCCTAGCTAGTTTGAGGTTTAAAGGCACATTGACTTGAGTGGAGAAAAAAGTACAATCCAGTGGTAAAGACAGGCATCTGGCAGCTAATAACTGATTTATCATTCACAGCTCTGATGCATGCATCTTTGGACAAGTCATTTGTCCTTTTATTTGATGCTTCTTCATCTGTAAAATGGAAATAATATTCTCAGCTCATGAGAAATTGTCAAGACTAGTTTAATATTAGCCATGTGCTGCATAAGAGTTAAGTATTAAACATGGGTCTCACTAGAAAGAGCCTATCAAGGTTAACATTTTATTATATATACAGAATTTACTACCTCCTGGTGCTCATGGGAGACTTGCCTCTTTGATTTAATAAGAGATTAGGATACAAAGTTTATAAGTACCAGTGGCACTGCTCCAGTGAGTCTTCATCATCTTGTGTCACAGCACTTTAAGATTTAAGCTATTTAACGCACTAGCCTAAAGTGCTGACTCAAAAATGTCCCTTTTAGGTAAATAAGCTTGTTGGATGGTCAGTTTGTCATATTTTCTGTATCTTTTGCATGTTCAGTATAATATATTTTGTCAAGTTACCTATAGATTTTTTTACCCCTGTTAGTAAAAGAAACCATGTTTGTCTACTCTGGGTCGATTGATGGTAGCTCGTATGTACTTAAGAGGAGAAAAGGAAACATGAGGATGTCAATGCCAATGACACTTTCATTCTGTTATATGGCATTACTGTGGCTGAAAGAACCAATGACCTTGTCGGATCTCTTAAGGTATGATTAAGTCTCTAGTGAAATATTTGATGCTGTTGTCAGTAATGTGAGTTTTAATTTGTTCCTGACCACTGCCTACTTACCAACTAGTGGATGATGATAGGCACTTAGCTACAGCATTTCCATGATAAAAGGTTGTTTCTGTTTTTTGAAGAATCTCAAACAGCACCATTGTTTTCAATAGGATTTTCAAATTTAGAGTCAGAAAAAGTCTCACTTGTAAGGAAGTTCCTTGTCTTTGTCCTTCAACATTTCTTACAGATTTTGCTGAGATATAAATAATTAAGTGTTGCCACCTATGAATATTGCAATTTGCAAAAAGTAATAGAAAAAACATTAATAAGAGTGGTCTATGATATTGCATAAACAGCAAGACCAGCACTTACTATTTTGGAAGTTTCCAAACCAGGTTGGGGGAATTGTCAGGTGCTCAAATTGAAAAAATAAAATGGAAAACATAAGAGAAATGCATGGCTGGCAAGGCTGAGTCCATGAACAAAAATTTTAACAGAAAATTTTGGTGTAGGACGATCTGGCCTGCTGGTATTTAATTTTTAAATATATCTTGGACTATCAGGAAACTTAAATGATTGGAAGAGTTCCAATAGTGAGTAAGTCTTCCCAAAAGGGCAAGTGAAATGAATAACTGTAGGTTGGTTAGCTTGACATCAGTCTGTTTCAACATGGTCCTGGGGTTGGAGGGTGGGGAGGGGGAATTGGTGGCCCACAGGGGCGCAGGGTTACAAGTAGTAGCCCACTGTTAAAAGGTAGACGGCCCCTGGTGTACAACATTTGGCTTAGTGTGTGGCATGATGTTCCAATTTAAAAAATAGTGCTCTGTTATATGAAAGCACATTAAATAGATTAATAACTACCTAAGTGGTGCTTTCCAGTGATTGCTGGTGGAAGTTGTCCATGTTGTGTGGGGTTTTCTAGCATTATTCCACAGGGATCAGCACTATGCCCAATTCTATTAAATGTTTTCATGACTGATCTGGAAACAAATATAAAATTGCTGTGGATAAAGCTTGTGGTTGACACAAAGACAGGTGAGTAAATTACAGGATGATGATAAGCATCAGATGAGACCTGCTGCAGTCTGAATTGTTTGTTCAGCTGGACACATTGGAAAAAATGTGCAATTTTAATACAGCCAAAAGATTTTTGTAGCTATTTTTTTAAGAATCTCAAATGGCTCCATTATTACTTCTATAGTAGGAACAAGAAGCATAGATGCTGGCTACAGAATGAGGGATTGTATCCTGGGAAGTGGAAACTATGAAAATTTAGGGAGCGAAAGGGGCATGTAACTGAACATAAAAGGATTGATGTGAAAACAAAAGAGAGAGAGAGAGAGAGAGAGGGAAGAGTGAGTAGGGATAAGAACATGGGCGGGCAAAGTCTGGCCTGTGGGCCGGATCTGGCTGCAGTGGACTCCATTTCCCAGCAGCCCCTGCCTGCGTGGATGGGGCCAGTTTCCATGGGGCCCCAGCTGTGATACAACGTTGTATAAAGCATTAGGGAAACAAATGCTAGAATACTGCATCCAGTTCTGATGTCAACATTTTAAACAGATGTTGAAGAATTGGAGAGGGTCCTGGGAAAAAAAGCCATAAATAACAATCCCTGAGATGAAGAATATGTCTTGAAATGACTGATTTACAGCTCACTTCATTTACTGAACAGAAGATGAGGAGGTCGCTTGATTACAGTATAAGTACCTTTATGGGGAGAGAATACCGAGTACATGAGAGCTTTGCAGTTCAGAGTTCAGCAGAGAAAAGTGTAACAAGAATCGAGGGCTCAAAAGTGAAGCCAGAGAAGTGTTAAACAAAAATGCTAATCTTTTAGTAATGAAAATGATGATCCACTTGAACAAATTACCAAGGGAAATGGTGGATTCTCAGTGTTCCTAGGTCTTCAGATCAAGCCAGATTATCTTTCTGAAAGATATTGTTCAACTGCATAGAAGTTATGCTTTAATTAAATACAAGTTATTGGGCACAATACAGGGGTAAATTGGTAAAACTTACTAGCCTGCATACAGGCGTTCAGGTGAGAGAATCTAATGGTGCTTTATAGCCTTACGGTGTCTAAATCTCTAACATTCATATAAAAACATGTTAAAATATCTTGTTCAGGTTGCAGAAGTCAAGAAGCACTCAAATTGGGAAATTTCATATGGTATGATTGCACTTGCAAACCTACCTGGTTTTTCAATTACATGATCCTGGCATGTTGTTTCCTCTTCCCCTCCCCTGCTCCTCCCCATATTTGTTGTTCAAGTTGCCTGCAGAAGGAAGCAGAATTTAAATGGCATAAGTCTGGTATTTTTTTACTGAATTCTTGACATTGCAACCTAAATACATTTCTTTTCATTTTTATATTCCATAAAATGGATACATAAATTCAGTGATGGATCAAATTGAGATGAAAACTAAGTAGAGAAAATGTTAAGTATCCTGCCTTGCCACTTGAATTTTTATGGGAACATCATGAATATTTAAAAGTTGAATTATAGTCACGTGCTGAATGTGCCTGCAGCCTTTCCTCACTTTGGTGTTTCCTTGAAGTTGTAGTCAGCTGAATCCTACTCCTCCCTGGTGATTAGACATGACAGTACGGCATCCAGCCATCTTTCAAAAGATTTACGGCACCAGAAACCGAGCTTGTTACTATTTGGCACATTCAACGCATAATCCTGCAATTAGCTCATCTTAAAGGGACATTTTGTTTAAAAATAACATTCAGACTATTTATACTTACCGGTATGTCCCAAATAGCCCCCTAATTTTTTCTAGTGTTAGTAATAATCAGTTTGTTGTCCATATTTGTGTTCTTTTCAGCATACAAAGATACTGTTAACAGATTAAGTTTCAGCCTAGTAGATTTCACAGGGCTGTAAACCAGTGCATTATAATACAGTTCAAACTAGGTTAAACATAGCAGAGCTGGCAAGACCAGACTTGTTACTATTTTGTAGCTGTGCTGCATGGCTTTGATATACAGTTTTCTTATAGTATTCAGGAGGCATTAGGTTTAGCCATACTTGAAATGAACCTTACAAATAACAGCTAAATGTTACGTGGGTACAAATTGTCTTTCCCCATTTGTCTTTGTCATATGACAGCATTTGAACATTTAGCATTTCCCGTTAAATTGGGAGCAGGTGAACTAAAATATATGTGCTTTAAAAAATTCCAAACCTGGGCTGTTTGGGAGTAAAGGATTGTATCAGATGCAACACTGGAGTTTCTGTGGTACTCCTTAGAATAGAAAACAAAGGTCTTAATCTAACTGTTAGGAGTGCCAATTTTTAAAGGGTGCCCCAATATCAGGGTTACAAATTTCTTCTTTCTTTAATTTTTTTAATGGTAATGTAATTTGACCTAGTCAAAGCAAGTTTAACATGAGCTATTTTTTAAAATGATGTTTAAGTGGATCTCTTGTCCCCTGGAAATATAGTTAAGGGATATCATACACTTGTTTCACACAGTTCTCCTGCAGAGCTGAGGGGAGTGATTGTCCATCCTGATTGGGGAAAAAACCATAAACTTCCTCATGGCATTAGCATATGTCACTATGAATATGTAAACATGTTGTGGGTCCAGGTCCTCATTTAGATCCCCTTTGATCCTAGGTTTTTCCATTTCTAATATCAATTGGGGGTGGAAGATGGTGGTAAATTGTGCAAATTGGTGGCTCTTGCAAGATGGTGGCTCTTGCAGTGGGACCACTTAGCAAGTGCTAGACTACTGTCAACATCATGTAAACTGTTGAATAACGAACTTATGTGCCCAGCAACACTGGCTAGATTAGAACCCGTGATCTAGATCAGGGCTGTTTAAACTGTCAGCTTGTGGGCTGCATGCAATCCAAAAGGGGTTAACATGCAGCCCCCAGGCTCCCACCGGGTCAACGTTGCCTCTGTTGCTCCGGCTGTAGCAACAGCAGCCAAGGTCTCAGGATTCCCTTCCTGGCTTCTGCTGCATACTCCCACCCCATGGAGTGGAGAAGTGTGGCATGGTGCAGCCTGTGGTTCCAAGGAGACCAGTATCCTAGAGGGCCTGTGTGTCATGGTGTCACAGCGGAGCACACGGGAAGCTGAAGTTGAGGCACCTTGGGGAGCCCATGGCCCCACTAATGCTTCTTGCTCTGTGTGCGGCCCTTGCCAGTGTGGCCCATGAGGTATGTGGGCCCCAGCTGCTTTGAAGTTTGACAGGTCTGATCCAGATACTAAACAATGCAAAAATGTTGTTACAACTCCACAAAAACCTTTAAGAAAATGTAAAATGCTGTTTGT